GAAAGAAAGAAAGAAAGAAAGAAAGAAAGAAAGAAAGAAAGAAAGAAAGAAAGAGAAAAAAGACTGAGTGGCTCAAGTGCTGAGTTGTTGTGGTGGAAGGCAGGCTGTGTATGTCTTCAATAAAAACTTAGTAACTCAGCATTCTAGAAACCGAGCAAGAGGGTCTCAAATTCAAGCCCAGCCTGGGTAACTTGGTGACTTAATGAGACCCTATCTCAAAGTTAAAGAGTTGAGGATGTAGTTCAGTGCAAAAGCCTTGGGTTCAGTCCCTAGTATGAAAGTGGAGGAGGGAGGGGGAGGAAAAGGGAGAAAGAAATACAGAGAAAGAAGAAGAAAAAGGAGGAAGAGAGGGAGAGGAGGAGAAGGAGAGAAAGAAAGGGAGAAAGCAGGGACTGTTCAAGCAAAGGAAGAGATTCAGGAAAATTCCCACTATGCCTCCCTCCTATCTTGTTCTCCACTTCCAGTTTCCCTCTAGAGAGTCGGACACTCCTCCTAGTTTCTAAAGCCTCCATCCAGAGAAGAATACATGTGTGCAAATCCCTATGTGTTCCTCTCCTTTCTTTGCATGTGGATAGATAGGTACTAGGATATTATGTGAGACTCTTCCTGACTCTCAGACCTGAGAACAAAAGATAACATACAATTTAAATAAGATCACAAAACACTTCAGCCTTTCCAAGAGGCTGAAACATGAGACCTTCTTTTCCATCATCTCAGGTCCGCTTTTCCTGGCCTACAAAGAACAGGCTGGGAAAAGAACTCAAAAGAAGCCAGAGTTACCTGGAATAAAGTGTTCATGCTGTGAGCTACTTCTGGATCCAGCACAACAGCTCTACACTCTTCCATCTTCATTGAGGCAGTGCCTCTGTCAGCCTGTTTTTCCAACTAACCAATGAGAAAGGTGGGCACCTAGGGAATCATGGGTAAATGATGAGAATGTCAGCAAAAAAAAAAAAAGATATCTAATCCCCAAAACAATCAGAACCCTCAAATTTGAAGATCCACTCCAAGAATGGGCATTTGAAATGAACAGACACTCCTCATTTGAAGCAGTAGAAACAGCAAATAAATTTTTTAAAAAAATATTCAACATCACTGGTCATTTGAGAGATGTAAATTAAAACAACACTGAGATTCCATATCACCCAAGAAAGAATGGCTTTCAAGAAGTGAACCAGTAACAAATGCTGGTGGGACTGTGGGGAAAAGGAACCCTTCTCCACTGTTGGTGGGAGTGTAGAGTGCTGCAACTACTGTGGAAATCAGTGTGGAGATTCCTCAAAAAAACTAGGATTACAGGTCCCATTTGATCAAGCTTTCTTCGTATCTTGAAATAATTAAAAGCATCCTAGCAGAGTGACATACGCACACTTATGTTTACAGTGGGCACAGTTACAATAGCTAAATCTTAGAAACAGCCCAAATGCCCATCAACCAATGAATGGAGAGAAAATGACTTTTTATACAATGGAGTATTGCTGTGTCACAAAGAAGGATAAAGTTGAGAAATTTTGAAGTAAATGGATGATTGATTTCACTATTAAGTGAAATCAATCAGGCATGCATGTTTAAATACCATACTGTTCCTCTGATGTGAGAAACCAAAAGTCTAAATAAGAACAAAAACGTGTACTAGATATTGGGAAATGGGAAGAGAATGGTCACATGTGAGGAGAAACAAGAGAGGGGAGGAAGGAACGGAAAAGGGGACAAGAGTGAAGAGAACAATATGAAAAAAATTGGAACAGGCTTTTATGACTAAGGCGGGGAAGAGGAGTTGAAGGAAAGGGAGGGAACTGGGGAAAAAAAGAAGAGCCAAGACATATCCTGAACATATACAAATTCCTATGATGAATGCTATTATGTATATCTAAAATGCACCAATGAAATGTTAAAAATGGACAAGATGGGTAACCAAGGTCTCTTCCCTGACCAGCTGCCTGCCTCACATAGATAAGCTATGGCATGTAAGACTTAAATAGGATGCAAGAGGAAAGTCAAAGGCCTGAACTCGATGATAACAAGGAGACTTGCCCCAGGGGATGTTACGTGATGGTAACATAGACTACAACCAAGCTCAGAGAAAGTGTCAGGAGTGGGGACAGCGCTGTTCTGCATTCAGCGGAGTCCACTCTAGCTGCTGTGAGGAGATTTACTACATGGTAGAGAGTGTTCACAGAATCATGGTGAAGAAACAGGCTTCAAGGAACTGACCTCAGAAGGGTTTCTCCCTCTGTCAGAGCAATAAATACACAGGAAAAGCTCCAAACAAATAAACAAGTCAAGAACTAGACACAACTTCCGGCTTCAAGACAGCACTTGTGTTGAGAAGGACCAAATGCATGCTCCACGCCCTACCTCTATAAATAAGAGTTAGTTTTAAAAGCAAAGTATCTTGTACATACATTTTATTGCTGGAACCTAAATTATTTGTCCTTGTCCTTGGGTCATGGGAAATGACAATACACTGCTATTGGTTTTGATTTCACATTGGAAAACTTAATTTAAATTGTGGGAAAATGTTAAAAGGTGGAAAATTCAGAGATTTGGGGGCAATACAAAGGATAGTACTTGGGGCTGGAGAGATGGCTCAGTGGTCTAAAGCACCTACTTGGAACAAGCTTGGCAAAGCACAGGGACCACGGTTCGATTCCCCAGCACCACATGCCAGCCAGCCCCGCCCCCTGGTGGGCTGAGCTGGCCACACACACACACACACACACACACACAATAAATAAATATAAATAAATAAATAAATAAATAGGATAATACTTAACAATAGCTGTCGGTGGAAAAAATAAAGCATTTTACATTAATGCACATTGATCTAAGACTTAACACCTGGTGTGGAAACATAGCATTGATTTATATCCTAGGCAACTCTGTGTGTATCTGAATTGGCCACACACAGAGGCGCTCACTTTGTTGGTTACTGTGTAGTAATCCACTGTGTGGCCCACTGCAATCACTCTCAACCCTCCAATGACAGAAATTCAGGTTGGTTCATATCCTTTCTCATTTTTAAAAATCTGGAATTTAGGCCCAGGCACACAAATCTGCCATCCTTCATGGACATGCCCTTCCCTGACCGCTTTCAAATTTTGTATTTTCTCTACGAGTTAAATAAAAAGTCTTTATTTCCTCTCAAGAATAAACTAAGTAATTTTAAATCAATTCTTAAAATTCTTTTTAATCTTTTATTTATTTGGTGCAGGACCTTCCTACGCAGTTCAGACTCATAGTGACCCTCCTGTGTCAGCCTCCCCATCACTGGGATCACAGATGTGCACCACCATGACTGGTTTTGGAGTGGGCACAGCATGCTGTACTGCAAACCCGGATGCTTGCACTTGCCAGGCAGGTACTTGGACTGCCGAGTTATCTCCCCAGCCTTAAATAAACTCTTAGTAAAAGTAACAAAAAGGCAAACCTCTGGTGGAGTGGCTCCAACACCAGCTACCTCGTGACCTCAGGGAACTCACAGACCCCGTGGGCTTGATTTCATTAGTTATGAAATGTAAAGTTTGGACAAGTTGATCTCTGAGACTCAGTTTTCCTGAGACACCTGATATAGCTATAATCTTTCAGGACACTGGTAACTAAGGTCACTTTACCTGGAAGTTCTAAGAGGGCCAGGGCCTTGAATTTCCTCATGTGTTTCCATTCTTTCTTATTTTCTCAGTGCAAAAAGCAGCACTCCAAAGACAACAGATTCCTGATAAATTATTTACTGGCAAAGAGATAGTAGTAGTACAAGGGAGAGACAAATTTGAACTTCTCCTTTCGCCCTAAATAATCTCCTCCATACCCCATCCAAGTTCACTTATAGAACATTATTTCTTAATTTCTATACTTCCTGGTGACTAGTAAGCTGTGGTGACTTGCTTGATTCCATTCTGTGTCATCTGGATTATTTGGTATTGTAAAGTATGTTTATAAGAATAATAAATGTTGGTGTTTGAATCTTATTAACATGTACTCTTTAGACCTTTGGATACTTGGAACCCAAGTCTCTTCTTTGGAACCTGGGAAAAACTTGCTTTGAAGAGTTTTTCAGTATACATGAAAACATTTTTCAGGTGACCCGGCTTTATGCAGTTCTGTGTTTGTGGATACAATGCCAAGCCTTGGGTCTGGAGTGGACTGTGGATTATAAGGATCCGTATAACCTGGAAGAACAGGAAAAGCAACACAGAGCCCTTGAGGACTCCCATTGCACCTGCCTCCTCAGCTGTTCCCTTACCTCTCTGGGCTGTAAATTAGCAACCCTTCCTTTGCAGGACCATTGCGAAATTTCAAGAGCACACGTACCATGTCTGTTATACATTGTCCTCTCACCCATGGTAGCTCTTAATATCGTATGACGCTTGGGCCAGGTGTGAAGATCTACCTGTTACCTCCCCAAAGCTGGCTGAATGGAATCACCAGACTACCTCCAGGGGCTCATTTTAAAGCCAGTCATACCCTGATATGGCCTATAAGCATTTTGCTTATTGCCTCCCGCAGTGACTTCTACAGCCAAAGTAGCCCATGGCTGGTCACACATGGGCACACGCAGAGTCTCTGGCCTGGCCCACGTATTTCCTCCTTCATCCTGCTCTGATCATCAGTTCCACACCTCCCTCTCCATCCCAGCCGCTGTTGATTCTTGCATAGGGCTTGCGGCTGGCCTTGCTCCTCTATGACCTGCCTTTCATCTGGCTGCCAATGGTCCCTCTTCTTCCTTCTCTCTCCAGGATGAAGCCACC